TAGAAAAGGAAACACTACATGATGGTCAGACTTGGAACTGAGACAGCTCAGTTAGAGAAAGAGCATCTAAGCAGCCTTAGCTGGTTTGGCTCAATGGATAGAGTGTTGGCCTGTGGACTGAGGGGTCCCAGGTTCAATTCCAGTCAAGGGCACATGCCCAGGTTGCGGGCTCCATTAAAAAATATATATATATTTTTTAAAGAAAGTGCTCTGGCCTGTTTGGCTCAGTGGATAGAGCATCAGCCTGCGGACTGAAGGGTCCCAGGTTCGATTCTGGTCAAGGGCATGTACCTTGGTTGTGGGCACATCCTCAGTAGGAGGTGTGGAGGAGGCTGATCAATGTTTCTCTCTCATTGATGTTTCTAGTTCTCTATCCCTCTCCCTTCCGCTCTGTAAAAAATCAATAAAATCTATATAAACAAAAGAGCAACTAAGCAATGAGGTGACCTTAGCTTCATCAGCAGAAGGTCAGAGCTGCTGCAAGCCTAGAGGGCGCCAAACACTCCTAAACCTGCTTGTCACTCACCCTCCCCTACTTCTCTGATCCTGAAGTACCCCATGCAGTGAAACCATATTTGTAGCACACTTGCTTATTTTAAGATGTATGCAGTACAATTTATATGTTATTAAGTTTGTGTATTAATTTAAGTTCCAGAGGATAATCAGAATTTCCCATGGATTCAAAATTCACATATTTTATTAGTGTGCATGTTAAAATAAGTATTGGAGACTATTTGAGTTCAGAGTTTGCATAAAAATTAGATGCATATATAATTAATATTTACAAAGGTATTTTGAGTGAATGCTAGTTTTTTTAAAAGTGGGACTTAAATGGTGGAGCTATTAAAACAGATATTAGCCCTATTCAATTTGGACAGAGCGGAGCGCGAAAAAGAGAAGCAGTTATATAAGATGCCCTGGAGGCTTCTCCCTAAGACGGACTTTTTCTTTGGAGTGTGCTTATTTCGATTCTCAGTGTCATCGTGACTTCTGATACAGGCAAAATTCCCCTTTAAAAATCCAACTCATCACTTAAAAAATAAAAAGCCAATAACTTCTTCCCAAAAATATAAATGTGCATTTTTTAAGAGAAATTGCACTAAAAAGTAGGAACAGGAAAGTTCATATTGGCATGGAAATACAGAGTCATTAAGTACAGTGCAGGCCCTGGCTGGGTAACTGAGTTGGTTTGAGCATCGTCCCAATACACCAAAGTTGCAGGTTTGACCTCCGGTCAGGGTACATGCAAGAAGCAACCAATGAATGCATAAATAAGTAGAGCTACAAATTGGTATCTATCTATCTATCTATCTATCTATCTATCTATCTCTCCCCACCCTCTTTGTCTCTAAAATCAATAAAAATAAAAAAGTGCAATTTCAAAATTCACTTATGTCATTAAGGAGCATAGAGAAGTAGCAAAGGGTTTAGTGATTCCCAAGTCTCCTCAGCTAAAAAAAAAATACACTTGACAGTGAAGGGCAGATGTAACTTTGGAGTTCCTTTTCCTCGACAGATGGCCACTGGCTGCCATCTTATCTAACATGTCACATGTGTGTGTTAAACATAATAGTTCATCACTTCTCACCAAAGGACAAAGCACAACATATGAAGCTCAGAGTGCCACATTTCCTGGTGGCCTCCAGCTCCGTTTCGCTTTTCAGTTTGAGGATCAAGAGTGACTGACTGGAAGGGTGGTGGCTCATAACCCATAAAATGATTCTCTGCTCTTTTCCTTCCTGGCTATAGTAGTCATGCCTATCACTCCAAAGCATTCTCCTATGATTCATTCAGTTTACCCCATCCAGTTCATCAGGAAGTGATGAGTCAAAACCCACTCATTTCAAATATAAAATCTTAACCATATAATAACCGTAGCATACAAATACTGTGAATCAAACACAGATACTATCACATGAAATTCAATGAAAGTTGAGGGAACTTAGTACTAAACAAACAAAATATTCAATTCACGAAATATTTTTTTAAAAAGGCCAGCCATTATCTAGTTTTGACTGATCCCTTTTGAGAATTGTGGCATATCTTGTGTGTGTGTGTGTGTGGTTTTTTTAGTGTGATCTTTAGCTTTTTGATAATCCACTATCAAAAATAATTATACAGGACATAACTGCAATAGTCATATTAATTCCTGTATCAAAGGTATCTATACTAAACTCTTTATATATTTATCTAAACTTAAAATTTTTTGTGTTTTTAAATAATTGTTATTGATTTTTTTAGAGACAAATGAAGGGAGAAGGAGAGAGAGAGAAACATCAATGCAAGAATGGAACATCATTGGCTGCCTCCTGCACGCCCCTACTAGGGATTGAGCCTGCAACCTGGGCACGTGCCCTAACCGGGAATCAAACTAGCAACCTTTCGGTGCATGGGATGATGTCCAACCAACTGAGCCACATTGGCCAGAGATAAAGTTTTAAGAGTTCCTAAAAATATAAAGCTATAATAATTTACTTAGATAATTTTCTTGCTAAACATTAAAATGTTTGGTATTAAATATTTGGTAACTTTATTCATTTATCAGTATTATCAAAATGAAAGTTAGAAACAAGAATACTTGCCTAGCAATCAAAGTAGGTTTAAAAATAATTGTATTTAGATATCTTCATTTGTAATCTTCTGTCTGTAACTTTAGCTTTACGGAGTTATCATTAAACATGTCAACAGATAACAGGGTGGCAGAAAAGTGAACAACAGGTCAAACTTAAAAAAAAAATACCTTTAAGAGAATACTTACTTTTTTGCCTCCCTCTAAGAGGGTATGTCCTGAGTTTTTCAATGATGTCAACCATGATCAAGGAAGTCAGAACCAGAGAGACCGGTAGGTCAGGCAAGGTGTCCGGCAAGTTATTAGCAGAACCGTTAACATTCTTTTGAACCTGTTGTCATAAAACCATTTAGAAGCATTAACTTTATATGCTTTCTTTTTTAAAAAAAAGTTTTAATTATCTGAACGCAGTGCTATACATTTAGTATTAAAATACTAAAAGCTTGGTTTTCATCTTCTCAGATATTTATCCCCATGAGGTTTTGAACCATTTCTAAAGATGTAATAAGTATTTATATCAATGGACGAGCCTTCAGTTCAAGGCAATACATGTGAAAATGTAACAGCAGGCTTCTGGCAGTGGTAAAATGGACAATTCCTCCAAGCCTGCTGGTAAGCACAGCCTCTGAAAGTCTGATACCAAAGACCTAGGAGGGCAAGAATTGGAGTTTAGGATCTTCCAAGAAGGGAGAGCCTAGGTAAACCCAGCGAGGCTTTGGGGCACTTTCTTCATCTGACTGAGGCATCCACTTAAAAAACACAGTGGCAAGCATCATATTAATGGTTACATGTTAAGAGTTTTCCCTCTGAGATCAGGAGTGAAACAAAGGTGCCACCACAACCATTTCTGTTCAACAGTGCACTTGAGGTTCCAGCCAGTGTAATAAGGCAGGATAAAGAAATAAACAGTATAAACTTTGGCAAGAAAGAAAAACAAAATAGTCATAGACTATATGAGTGCATATGAAGAAAAATCTTCCCAAAATGGATTATTTCTACATACCAATAGCAAAGAGAAAATAAGATTTTAAAAAAGATAGCATTTAAAGCAACTTCAACCAAAATTCCAAGTTTTTATGGAAATTGACAAGCTGATTCTAAAATGTATATAGAATACAAAGGGCAAGACACTAGAAGAAAAAGAAAAAGATATGAAGATTTACTTTTCTGTTTGTAAAGAGCTATTATAAAACTACAGGAATTAAGTCAATGTGGTATTGGCACAGGAATATAAAAGTAGGTAATGGGACAGAACAGAAAATTCAGAAATAGACCTGATTTATAACAAAAGTAGCAAAGTAGCACTATAGAGAGATGTTGGAAAACAGACGTTTTAATAAATGGTGTATAGTCCATTGGATGTTATTTGGGGAAAAACATAAATAGAAATTGCCTCCCTACTGTACAAGATGTACAGAAATTAGCTCTAGATCGATTTTTAATCTAAAAGAGAATGGCAAAACAATACAGGGCCCAAAATATAATATAGGAGATCTTCAGTTCCTCAAGATTCAGAGTCACAATATGACAAAATCTTCTCAAACCAAAGCACTGTCCATAAAGGAAAGAAATTGATAAATGGGGCTATTTTTTAAATAAAGAACCTCTCTTTATCAAAAAGATACCATTAAGAGTATTAAGTCATAGAACATGAAGATATTTGCAATACATGTAATCAACAAAGGGGTTGAACTCTGAATATATAACAAAACAGATGAATTTATCTGAAGTATTAGAAGTTACGGGAGAGCTACCTTTAAGAAGGACGTAGTCATTGCAAAGAACATAGGGTTGCCTTCAGGCAGCTGGCAAAGCTTTATGTTTTTACTTTTTTACATAGAGATTTGCTTTGTGGTATCGAATTAATACTGTATATTGATGTTTTGTGCACTTTTCTGTTTGTGTGTTAAACTGGAGTGGAAAATTACCTGGGTACTCACGGCACCTATACTTAGTCTAATTGTCTATTTTTCTCTCTATTATCAGTAAATTCCTGAAGATAAGAGTCATCAAATTTCCTGAGGGTCTATTTCCAGTAACTAATACAGCGCCTGGCGTGTACATGCATTTAATGATATCTGGTCAACATATAAATGAAATATCACAAAATAATTTGAGCTGTGCACCTTGGGGAAGTGAAAACTGTTATCTTTCACAGTACCTTACAATTAATAAGATTAGGAGGCCATTCTTTTTTTAACTTCTTGGATAATAAATTCTACATCCAGAAAGTTCTGCCTATAATATTCTTGTTCTGCAGGCCTCCATCCATTAAAGCAGCATGTAGTCAAAAATATAAAGTTATTTTCAATTATGTATTATACACAAATTATTTGTCAATGGGTATATTATCAAAGGTCTTAGAGCAGCGGTTCTCAACCTGTGGGTCGCGACCCCTTTGGGGGTCGAACGACCCTTTCAGAGGGGTCGCCTAAGGCCATCGGAAAACACATATATAATTACATATTGTTTTTGTGATTAATCACTATGCTTTAATTATGTTCGATTTGTAACAATGAAATTGGGGGTCACCACAACATGAGGAACTGTATTAAAGGGTCGCGGCATTAGGAAGGTTGAGAACCACTGTCTTAGAGTGTGGGTGGTTGTTCATGGGAATAATGTTTTTTTCCTTTATAATTGTATATGATCATGAGAAACATCAGGTTACAGCGGTTCTCAACCTGTGGGTCGCGACCATCAGAAAACACCTATAGCATATCAGATATTTACATTACGATTCATAACAGTGGCAAAATTACAGTTATGAAGTAGCAACAAAAATAATTTTATGGTTGGGGGTCACCACAACGTGAGGAACTGTATTAAAGGGTCGCAGCATTAGGAAGGTTGAGAACCCCTGGAGAAGAAACAAATGTGGATCTATTTTCAAATTCCTTGCTTTTAAAAATTATTTTGAAATAACATTCCTGTTTCTCACACACAAACACAGAAGTAATCTCTTTTAAATTGGCTTCTAGACTTTCCTCCTTAACCATGGAGGTAACAATGACAAATATATATATATTGCATTTGAGAAGAAGAATGGATAAAATAAACTTTAAGAAACTTGTTGGGCACACCACTCTATCAAATTCCAATAACAGGAAATTTTAAAATCTTGCGTCAGAAGAAATAAAAATTCCATACCTCCGTCACGGCTATAGAAAAGCTGAAACTGGGGAGTGTGGTGAGCACGACACACATCATCATAACAGGTCTCCTAGCAAAGGAGAAAGAAATAAGCAAAAGCAATAATGTACAAGATCAACAGTTCCTGTTAGTTTTTGCTAATTTTGCAGTTCCGGTTCCATTCATCTATAGTTTTTCTAAGAAGCTACAGCTTCCCTATTTCCATTTCCCAAACGCCTGAAGATGGCAAAGGAGAACACATGCAACAACCAGAATGCTTTTCTAGAAGAAAGGGTGAGAGATTTCCAAATAATTGACAAATCATAGACAGCTAAAATCATCACAAGGCAAGACACATGACATGCACAGTTTTCATAATTCATTAGTTAGGATCCTACCCCAAAACTCAGGCTCTGGTGACCAACTGGAAAAAAGAACAGCATGACTTTTCAAGTTATATTATGACCCATGTTATAAAATTTATTTTTCAAAAAATTAATTTAAGATGATACTTAGATACTTAGGGCGGCAGAAATTGAAAAAAAAATGGATATTATTTACTTGAACCCAAAGAAATAATATATACATAAAAATCACATAATTTTTTAAACTTGTTTTTGAACCGCTTATTAAACCTTTCAAGATCAATCAAATAGTTATGAGATGTAATATGTATTTAATATTCTACCTTATAATAGAGACAATTTAAATATACATTTAGCATCATTAATTTTGGGGAAAACAAAATATACTCAAAGGTTTCCTATCATGAAATATTTACCTTCTTTTTTCTTAAATATATTAATTACATGTTTAGCATATTGTATATCTAATAACAAAAAGTGTTGGAATGGGTGAACCATGAGAGCATTATACTGAGTGAAATAAATCAGTCACAAAAAGACAAACATATAGAATACCTGGAACAATCAATTTCATAGAGACTGAAATGGTGGGTGCAAGAGATGCAGAAGAGGAGAATGGGGAGTTGTTGTTTAATGGACATAGAGTTTTAGTTTTCCAGGATGAAAAGAGTTCTGGAGATTGGTTGCACAACAATGGGAATGTACTTAACGCTACTGAACTGTGTGTTTAAAAGTGGTTAGGATAATAAATGTTATGTACATTTTATCATAAGTAAGTGGATTAAAAAAAATGTTGGAGTCTTTCAAATGACTAAGACATAAATTATGGGGTGGGATATCCCCTCTCTCACAACTAGACCCAGTACAACCTGTAAAGTCCGGAGTATGATCGTATTTTACATGCATAGCTTTGCCTCCTTTGTGAGTCCAGATCCAGGTTCCTGCAGCACTCAGCTCCCTAAGACTGAGCAGCACATTCATAGAGGCCTCTTCCCAACTTGACCCCAGGAACTATTCCTGCGCCTCTTCTTTAGCTGCATTATCTCCCTTGATTATCTCAGCCAACCCCATTGCTTTAAATACCACACAAGTGCCAGTGACTCCCAAACGTATTATCATATACAGATGCTGGCTTCTATCCTTAGTTCTGGATGTGTATGCCCAACTATGTGACACCTCATCTATTAGTAGACATTTAAAAGGCAACTGACAGTTAACATTCCTAAAGAAGAACCCACATCCTTCTCCATATCTGTTGTTACCATCCTCAAATCCTGTCTGATTTACTGACAAAATGCATTTTGAATCCATCCTCTGCTAACACAGTGGTTCATATACTATCATCTCTCATCTGCAGTATTTTCTAATCAGTTTTCTGTTGGTAACTCTATTCTTACCTAACAGTATTTTCTCCATAGAGCCAACAGTCATATTTTTAGATATAAAATACATGTTATCACTGCCCTGCTCAAAAATTTCCAATGCCGGTGTATGGGAGAAATGGGAAGTTATTGTTTATTGAGTACAGTGTTTCAGTTTGGCAAAATGAAAAGAATCTTGTGAATGGATGGTAGAGATAGCAGCCAAGCGGTCAATTAAAATAAAATTGAAGCCTATAACCCTAGTCTACATACTCGATATGATGTGGTTCCTCTCATTTCTCCTTCTTTCATCCGGACTTAGAATGACCTATATCCCTAACACCTACTTAACTCTGTCCATTCTGGCCTCCTGGTTATTTCACACAAAGACTGCCCCACCTCCAAGTCATATGCTCTCTATTCCTTTTGCCAGGGGCGCTCTATGCATGGATCTTCTATGTCTGGCTCCTTGTTGTCATTTAAATATATAAACTACCTGAAATTCTGCTGTTTAGTTATTTACTTGCTTATTGTTTGTCATATTGCTCCTTGTCCATATCCAAGATAAGTTCCTAGGGAGCAGGGGACTTATCTAATTGTTCACTACTTACTCTTCACCATCACTATTTTTCAGCCATTTTTGTGCAATAAAACTTCTAGGACTCTGGAATATCCTATAGAGCAGCGGTTCTCAACCTGTGGGTCGCGAACAATGAAAATACATCCTGCATATCAGATATTTACATTACGATTCATAACAGTAGCAAAATTACAGTTATGAAGTAGCAACGAAAATAATTTTATGGTTGGGGATCCCACAACATGAGGAACTGTATTAAAGGGACATTAGGAAAGTTGAGAACCACTGCTACAGAGGCTTCTAAGAATATAACTTTTAAATGAAAAAAATAAAACACATATTTAAAAAATAAAGTAACTATGTTGACAAAGTAATCCAAAACCTTAAAAAATTGATATATTAATAAATGTTCCTGTCTATAAACACAGTGTCTTCTTATTTTCTTTCGAGTAAAAACTGTAATCACTAGTGGTAACTGTAATCACTCATAATTTCAGGGTAGTGAAGATCATAAACCATATCTTGAATTACCTGCACAATTGTAGGGGACCCAAGATGGCGGCAGAGTAAGTAGAAGTTACACTCAACTCCAACCAGGACCAAACTGCAACTACAACTAACATACAGAACAATCAACCTGAATAACCAACTGAAGACTAGCTGAACAGAAGTCTTATAACCAAGGATTTACAGAAGCCACAACAAGACTGGTAGGAAGGGCAGAGACACAAAAAGGGTTAGCTCTGCCCCACGGGTGATGGCTAAGAATCTGGAGGAATATCTCAGCTGCAAAGGCTCCCCGCTGAGGAGCACGGGGTCTCACTCTGACGCTGGGATCCACAGCCCAGCGCACCAGAGCCAGGAAGAGGTGCCCGCATAACATCTGGCTGTGAAAATGAGCGGGGATTCTGTCTGCCAGGGAGAAACTGAAATATGATAGAGACCAGATGCCATCACTAAGGGCCCAAAGACAGAAACCTTGTTTGCAGTCACTCATCCTGAGCTCCAGTGGAGGGAGGGCAGAGTGGGCTAGAGACATGTGAGAGAGATGGCTTTGTGGCTCTGGGGAGAGAGCTGAAGGCTCAGACACCACGATTCCTGTGCCGAGTCCCTCCCCCATATCACAGATGATATCTCTCTTAAGTGGAGCACTTCCCTCCATATGGCATCAGCCTGGGGGAATGCAATAGCACCACCCTCTGGGCTTCCTGTCATACCACCCTGCCCTGATGAAGAGTCAGCTGCCTGGGCCAGGATGTAGAGGTCTGGGAAGACAGGGATGTCAGTGACTGAGTTGTGTGGCTTTGAGGCAGAAAACTATTACCCCCACTTTCTGGTTAACCTGTCCAATGCTTCCCCCAAATGAAAGATCCACTAGTCCCACACTCCCAACTCCAAGCGGCCTACCCTACTAAGCTTGGTCTACTAGCAGAATGTGGGACAGACTGAGTTGTATGGCTCTAGATGGGCTCTTTTTTCCCTCTCCTGCCTAACCGGAGTAGAGCCTTACATTCAAAAAGGCCAAAACCTTGGTTTGTTTGGGCCTGGTAAACTCTGTCGTCCTCACCCTGACGAGTCTTTGAGACCCTGCCCCATAACAAAGGTGAGGGGCAGTTAGATTTGGCACATCCTGGGACTTTTTCTCAGACCCCACACTGGCACTGAATTTGAACCTGTATCAATCTGGTGAATACCACTAGTGCCTACTTGATGACTCACTGAGAATTTACCTCATGCAACTTGAATACTGCCAGAGGATGTTTCAGTGACTAAGTCTAACAGGCCATGGGCAAATGGAGGCAGGCTGAGGTGGATCAGGGAGCCTTGGCCTTTTGCTGATGAGCCTCTGGGCTCAGTGCTGATGGAAGCCAGCCTTAGTGAGCAGTGTCCCACACACACCAAGGCCCAGCAGAGGCAGCCACAAAGGGTAGATTGCATTGGGCTTTAAACAGATTGCCCTGAGCCAGTCAAAAGCAGTGTCTGACATCGACCTGCACCAGAGTCTCTCCCAAGAGGCCCCAGAGCAGACACATCCACTAGCCAGCTTCTGACAATATCAGAGCAGGATCCAATTAGTTTCACAAGTGGCATATCCTAAGTGAGATCTCAGGAGGCACCAGAACCTGCTGAGGCAAATTCCATTTCATGTGATCAGCACCTGTGCAGCAACTTGTACACTGAGGTCAGGCTCGATCTTCACAGTCAGCAAGCCTGAGGGTCAACCCCATACACAAATGGGGCAATAGCAATCAAGACTCAATTACAACAGGATAACCCACACTAGGGATATTCCTGGAGCATCAAGGTCATCAAGGAGACTGTGTTACTGGGTCCCATAGGATACCTACTACATAAGACCACCCTACCGAGACTGGGAGCCATAGCAGATCTACCTAATACATAGATACAAAGAGGTACTAAAATGCAGAGACAAAGGAACATACCCCAAATGAAAGAACAGAAGAAATCTTCAGAAAAAGAGCTGAATGAAATAGAGGCAAACAATTGGTCAGATATAGAGTTCAAAATAATGAAATTGATGCAGTAATTTAAAAATAAACCAATAAAAAATCAAACCTTCCAACAAATAAAAGTTGTGGACCGAATGGCTTCACAGGCAAATTTTACCAAACATTCAAAGAAACACTAACACCTATCCTCCTCAAACTTTTCCAAAATATTCTAGAGGAGGAAAGACTTGTAAGCACATTTTATAAGGCCAGTATTATTCTAATTCCAAAACCAGATAAAAAGACTACAAAGAAAGAAAATTATATGCCAATAT